GCTCGGACAAGCGCGGACACTGCTGCAAAAGGAGGTTGGCGACTCTTTGGCCTTGGCCGTCGACCATGACGTCGTCCTCAAACGCGAGATGGATGTAGCTGAGCGCGGGCCCGATGCTGTGGACGAGCCTGGCCAGCGGCGCCGCCTCCCGGATTGCATCCGTGACGTCAATGCACAGCCGCAGCGGCAGCACCTTGGCGAGCATGGCCAATATCTCGGGCGATACGTCTACCTCGCAGAGGATGAGGTGCGGCCACTCGTTGTAGAGTGGTCCGGTGGCGCCATCGCACAGACGTCGATCAACGCGCTGAGCGCCGGCGACCAGAGCGAGCGGGGCACCGCGTCGAGAAAGCTGGTTAAATCGTCTCTTGCTTGCAGAGCGATGAGGCAATCGCCTCGAAGATGTGGGGCTGGAGAAGCCCGTCCGGCGGCGTCGCGCGGCCTTTCTTCGTCGTGCGTCCTCCTGGCATGCTGGGACAGTGCACTTTGCTATCAGGAGCAAAAATGATTGGTGGAGAATTACGGATAATGCACCAATCATATAGGTGGAGGATAATGATGCGCGTTTGCTCTCCGCAGCCTCGACCCACGCACGACCACTATACCGTAGTTTCGTCGTCCTAAGAAATTGGACATGACGAAGAGTGCCATCATCCTTTTCGAATCGACCAGCATAGACTGCCCATATCAACAGCCATTGACAGAGACGCCAGGAAGTGCAAACTGGCTTGACACCGGTTGCGTTTGTAGAAAACCCAAGGGCGTCTGGGGTTCGTAGCCGGTGTTTCATACCGGTACTACAGTGTGAAGCAGAAAGATAGTTTCATTGCCACTGGACGCGGGTCCGTGTCGACTCAACAGTCGACTCTATGCATACTAGTACATGTATGAGTTAAAGCCACTGCGCCAGTCATGCCGTAGGAGGATATGGAGGCTTGCGTCCTCGGCCCACACATGCCCGAGCATGGCCAACAGTGCTCTTGATGTCGTCACCGAGCCACTGCACATATGGCCGACGCCTTGCTCTAGAACTGTATCAATATACTTTTCGTTCATGATTGCTTTCAGACCTATGGTACCAATAACCGTCGTTTGCCATAGTACTGGTTATTGGTAGAAGCACACGTGGGCGGCTCGATCAAGATGCATATATTTCGCGCCATTTGGTGGTCCAAGGTCATGTTACGTGATTAGTGCACTGAAAATCTCGTCTGCCATCTTTCGCCCACGCCAAGAAAACGATTCATTTCCATCGGCTTGTCCAATGTGCGGCTACGGTGCGTTCCAACGACAGCTGTTTTTGGTGGCGAGAAATCTCGACGTTTCGTAAAAATCCAGAAATGGGCGTCCGTTTTCCCAGTTCCTGTCGACATTTTGCTCTACATGGTCAATTCGATTCCAGATAAGTCCCTTTCTTTTCAAAAAGTGCGTCATTTCCGTATCCAACGTCGTTTTGTCTTTATGCCTTTGCATGCAACGAGTGGTATCCAGCATCGATCCGCTCGTATCAATGAGCAGGTGGTTTGATTTACCTACGCCACCTCGCACCGCATGGTCTCTCAAACTGTGCATCACCTTCGAAACCATGGACATCCAGATCTCTCGTTCGCGTCGTGCCGCATCCAGTATTCATTTTCATAGCGGACACGATGCAGCTCCTGTATTCGCTGTGCGCGCTGCTGTCTATCGTTGCCGCCGACATCCTCGACGACCTCTACCGCGAGCACAACGCCCAGCGCATCCATCACAACGTCGCCCCGTTCGCGTGTCTCGATACGCAGCTCAACGCGCTCACAGCCACCCATGTCGCCGGCCAAATCGTCGCCCACTCGCTCGACCACACCAAGCTCGCCGCGCGTTGTCACGCCATCGGTCCCGACGTCGTCTGCGGCGAAAACTCGGTGCGTGGCAAAGTCGCCAGCGCCAACGGCATGGTCATGCACTGGATGAACTCGACCAAGCACCGCGCCAACATTTTGAACCCCGATTTCACTCGGGTGGGGTTCAGCGTCCAGAAAGCCAATGCGTCCGACGAGTGGGTCGCCACTGCTCTCTTTGCCACCGGCCCGGCCAACTGCAGCACACGTATAAAGGATGACGGGACCAGCATCGGTCGCGCGACGACGTACGGCGGCGTCGATGGCGTCGATGTCAACAGCGGCAACTGCGGCCTCATGGACTGGATCGAGAACGCCAAGACGTTCCATGCGGCCATCAACCAGGCGCAGTGGGCGTCCGGAACCAACTGCGGCCGGTGCGTGCAAGTGACGTGTGTCGACGACCGGTGTCCGACCAAGACGCCGGTGCTCGGTCAGGTCTCGGACCAGTGCCACGGCTGCGCGGATGGTAGCTTGGATCTGACATTGCCGTTTTTTCAGAAAGTGACGGGCGCGACCACCGACTCGTTTGCAATCTCGTGGCGATTTGTCGACTGCCCAGTCTCTGGCGGCGTCAAGGTCTGTGCGAAAGCGGGCAGCAACCCGCACTGGCTCGCGCTTCAGCCCGCCAATGCGCGCCATGGCGTGGCGAAAATGAGCATCAACGGTGCCGCGAGCAACCTCTTCTCGACCAGCTCCAACTTTTTCTTTATGGCCAAAGGCCACATTGACTTTGGTGCGGCCAAGGTCGAAATGACGTCGATCGCTGGGGAAACGATCTCGGCGACGGTCTCGCTCACCGCCGGTCAGTGCACCGAGCTGCCGCACCAGTTTCAAGCAGCACCCGACAACCGCGCCTAAGGCCTCGATGCCTCGTTGGATGCATAGCTGTACCAATCAATATAATAGTTTGTCGTCCATACAGATCGATGGACCGCCCGCCCCCGACCAGTGGACGACGTACGGATGCGCGAGGACCTCAGCTGTATCGTAATCGACCCCAATCAAATGTGGGATTGGTGTATTTGGATGATTTCCCGTCTCTGAGTTGCCTGTCTTAAGACGCGTGATTCCAGTCTATCGATTACAAAATATATATAGTTATAATTATAGAACGCAACTTGGCGAACGTGCAAATGGTTGCAAATGCAAGCAGTTCACCCCATCCCATCGCATGACCGCCGCAGCGTCCTCGTCGCCCGCCCGCGGCCTCCGCCTCTCGTACCTGCGCCACTTTATCAACAGCCATGGCGGCGAGGCCCGCTTTGCCGGCAAGACGACAGCCCAAGTGTGCTTTGAGTTTGTCGTGCCATTGACCAAACCAACCGAGCTCTCGCTCGTCGACCACGTCGACAACGACCCAACGACCGCTTCGTTCGTTGCGCCGGCCAACTGGTATGTATCGCACGCCTGGCAGTATCTCTTCTTGGAGACCGTCGACAGCCTCGAGCGCTTCTTCGCCGACCGCGGTCTCGCCGACGACGCGGTCATTTGGTTTTGCGTCTTCAACAACAACCAGCACCTCGCGAGCTCGTACCCGTTCGAGTACTGGTCTTCTACCTTTAAGAATGGCCTCGCAGCCATCGGCAACGTGGTCATGATCATGCACCCGTGGAACGACCCGATCGTGCTTCGTCGGAGCTGGTGCGTCTTTGAAGTCTACGTGGCTGTGACCATGGGCGCACGCTTTGAGATTGCACTGGCGCGGGATCAAGAAGCCACGTTTCTCAACGACATGACCGACGAAGGCGCAATCCATCGCATGCTGGCGACAATTAAATGCGAAAACTCCGAGGCGACCGTGCCAAGTGACCGCGACGGTATTTTTGATTTGATTCGCGCCGAGACATCCTTCATCGCGGTCGACCGGCTCATCTTTTCCACTTTATCCAATTGGATCAAGTCGACGCTCGAGACATCGATCGCGTCGGCGGCGTCACCTGCTGAGAAGGCAGCGCGGTGGCGCCATCTCGGCCACATCTACGACCGTGACAACGACGACGTCGAGACCGAGCGCTGCTTCCGACACGCCGTCACCTTGTTTGCGCAAGCCAACGGGCCAAACGATCTCGAGACGCTCCGGACGCAGTCGGAGCTGGCATATTGCATCGCGCTTCAGCGCAAACCACAGCTCGAGTGGGAACCGCTCTTCCTCTCAACGCTGTCCGCGCTTGCGGATCTGCTCGGCGCGACGCACAAGACGGCACTCGTCACCCGCTTGCGCCTCGCGGTCGCACTTTCCTGGAACGGCGACCACCACGGCGCGCTCACTGTGGGTCTTGGGACGCTGGACCTCCAGCGCGCTACGTTTGGCCTCCGTCATTGGCGCACGGCCGCCACGTTGAGTGCGATCGGTGGTGCGTACAACCAGCTCTACATGTACCGGGTTGCCGCCCGCTACCTCCGACGCGCCGTGCTTGTGCAAGAAGAAACCTTTGGTCACGACCATACGTCGACGCGATCATCGGTGTCACGGCTCACGAATGCCCTTTTGAACGTGGGTGACGCCGTGCGGGCGGTGTCCATGGCCAAGCGCCTTCTTGCGAGCAGCGAGCGCACTCTGGGCCCGCTCCACGACACGGCAATTGTTGACAAGATCACACTTGGGATCGCGCTTCTGCATGCGGGAAAGACCAACAAAGCCCAGACACTATTGACGACGCTGGAAGCGATCGTCGAAGGCCGGCCAGAGCTGGCCGCTCGCTGGCCCTTCGGTACGTGTGGGTCTTGGCTTCGTGACGTTATCGTACGTGTATGTCTAGTGCTCGATCAGATTGCCCTTTCATTTTGGTACCAGAGCCAGTACGAGCAAGCCACCACCTACTTTGTACGGGCCCACGATCTGGCGCCTCAAAGAAAAGAAACGACGTGGCTCTTCTTTTTGATGGCGACACGTGCACCTGAGACGGTGCCCGAGAGTCTCGGTCGCATTCAGCACTATCTCAAGTCGACCGACGATTCGACGCCCGAGACGTGGCCAGCGAACTGTATCGTGTGCGGCAACGTGATTGTCGGTTGTGTCGTCATGTGCACGGAGTGCCCCGGCGGCATCTTTATATTTTGCACCCGCTGCCTCGCGCGCAAAGTCGCCCGGCTCCAGACGCACTGCAAGCACGACCCGTCGACGACAACATACACGACAACGCCGCCCCCGCGCCGATTCTTCTTGGAAAAAGACCTCCTCGAAGCCTCGTACGACCGCGCCGAGACACTGTGGACCGACTACGCCAGCCACTGCACCAAGTACAACGTTCCGTTGCACGAGCGCCTTCGACGGACCTCGGTGCCCGTTTTGAACCGCAGCTGGCACCCAATGCTCTAGTTGATATACCTCTTCATGTTGGTCATGACTACTTTTCAAGTTATTCCAGTTGACCGACGATCAAATGGTGTTGCGCGCGGCTCAACCTGAGGATCGCACATGCTGCGCACGGATTGGCTGGTCCGCCATGGTCCGCTATGATTGACCGACCCACTAGGTTCTAGCTGGGTTCTAGCGGGTGGGGCTGGTAGGAATGAATATATATTGGACTGTTTTTGTGTTACATTATTGTCGGATTGCTTGGCTCGCATGGGCGTGTCGATTCGTCGCTTGGTGTCGACTCGTTACTCAAGCTGCACAAAAGCAACGACGCAGGGAGCTGCCTCGCGTGTCGGTGGCAAAATGTCGAGCTCGTCGAGCAGCGCAGTATACGTATTCTGCAGCGCAGCTGCCAAGTAGCCTTTGTCGCAGGTCACCGTAAACGCTTGTTGGTTGTGCTCCAGAAGACGGCGGAGGCACTGCACGACTTGGACGGCGGTGGGATCGCACTCGCTAAAGAGAACGCGCCGCCACTTCAAGAGACCTGCGCCGAGCGCTGGAGCAATCGCACGCCACATTGCATCCGTGAACGGCGGGAAGCGCAGACTCAAAAACGCAAAATTAGAGCACGCGACCAGCGCCGTCACCATCGCGCGGAACACTTGTGGAGGAAGGTACAGACCAGCGAGGTCGAGGCGTCGAAGCGATGGCCATGCCGGGATGCACGCAACAAGTAAAGGAAGGGCCGTTCGAGGTAGATTGCACTGCCGCATCAAAACGTGTTGCAGCGACGGTCGCTGACTCATGGCAGTGAGCAACTGCACCACGTCGCCTGGTGCGAACTTGCCTTTAGACACGTTGAGCGTTTGCAGGTGCGGTAAATGTGGCAAGAGCTCAGCGATCGCGTTCGAGAAGAGCGAATGGTTGCCCGACAAGTCGAGCGTGCGCAGCTGGGAGGTGTGGTGTAGCGCAGTGAGGCGCGGTGCGGGCGTTGGGCAGTACATGCCCCACACGAAGACGCGGAGGTTGGGCGGCAACGATCGGCCGTCCAAGAGACGCTCCGAGAGCGACTCGGTGTGGCTCACACGAAGCTCGACCAGCGAGACGCATGTACTCAAGGCGTCGCAGAGCGCAAGTGCATCCGTCTCGCCAAATGGCACGTCGTCGAGGCGCAGTCCCCGCGCGCTGCCCCGCTCAAGCCACGCAAGAAGCTTCTCCATGCGCGCTCCCTTCAGCGATACTCTTTGCAGCGCCAAGAGCCGCAGCGAAGGATGGGTGAGAAGATCCAGAAGCGGTTGCACCTGGGCGGCATGGACAGCGGCGAGGACGTGCAGCTCGCGAAGGCGCGGGCAGCGGCGGCCAAAGTCGCGTACCCAGTGCGTCCATGCATGATCAATCGTCTGGGCAGGGCGAAACTCGACTGTCATTGCAGTGATCATGGCCACGAGCGGCCCGAGGTAGACGAGATCGGTGCCCGCGACTGCCACCGCCGAGAGCGACGGCTGTAGCGGCAAGAGCGCAGACAGATTCGCCGGGGTCGATGCCAACGCTGGCGCACGGCGCAGCACGATCGTCGGCCAGTCCATAAGTAGAGACGCATCGGGCGTCGTGATGAGGGCCTGCAAGGCGACGAGCGCCGGCGACAGCATGGGCGTGGGCATCGCGGCGAGGAAGGCGTCGAGCGTGCGCTGGTCCTGCACGAAGCGCGCGATGATATTGAGCGCCTCGGGTACCAGTACGGAAGGCGGCGCGGCCTTGGCCCGCTTCGAGTCCGGCGTCATGCTCGTCCGGTCGCAAGATGCGAGATGGTACCGTTAGATACGCTTTGGTTTTCTTACATGTGGCACATGCCGCGAATAGAACGACGTCTTGCCCGCGTGTTCAACCTGCTCGAGTTGATACCTGAATCATTGTCCACTTGATAATGGTAATCGCACGTCTGTACGAAGGCTTTGCACCGCGATACACTGTGTTGAGAGACGACTCTACGCCTAGTGGTGGGGGTATGCCTCGGCGTCCCGACGCGCCTGTTGAAGGAAAGGCGGGCGCAACAATGTGGCACATGCCGCATTTAGGCTTTACCGATGAATGCTCCGTTGTTTTCTGTGTCCTTGATGCATCTACGTGTATCGACAGCAAGCCACCAGTGATAATATCGTTGCAGGTAACACGATGCGATGAAGCGCCATGAGGCTCGTTCGCCCATTCTCTCAAGGCTGGTACCGGTTGCTGTTGATAAACCTATAGAACCTTATATTGTATGGTGACATCGAGTTTCCGAGTCAGAGTGACAACCATATGACGATATTTGTTTATTCGTACGTGGGGAACATGCATTCCTATTTTTTAAATGCAGCTACAGTCGATGCTGTGTCATTAAGTAAGTAGGTGTGGGAAAATTCTTCCAAAAGAAGTTCTTTCCCAAATGATGACATTTCAAACAGTTGTTGCTGAGACGGTGGGATTTCTACCTTGTTACAACACCTAACCGAAAACGAACTGATCCACACCTCTCTATATTTTTCATTTTTTCAATTTTTTCTGGTCCACAATCGAAACTTGCGGTATCAAACTGAACGAATGGTGAGACAAGGAGGAATGGGATCGTCGTTTGGTCACAACAGCATCATACGACGGCTCTGCGTCGGTCGAGCAGACCTGGGAATTAGACCTGGTGGGGCTTGGAGCCAAGGGTCAACCTTGCACGCGCTCACCTGGCTTCGGCATGGCTTTCGCATGAGGGCGACTTGATCCCTAAAAGCTTGCGTGCTCGATGGTACCGAGCACTTCGATCGCGCGCAGCTTGAAAAAGGCGACGGCCAAAAGCGCCACACGAGGCTCGGCGTCGATAATTTAGTGGGGACCAAGTCTCGTGGTGTTGCATGTTGTCGGGACGGTACTGAGCCAACTAGAGTGGGAGTGTCCACAAATGACATCAACGCTCGACTCGCGGGATAATAGTTCAATGTTTCTGAGACAGTTGCAACCGTCCAAGAAGAGATTTAAAGCTGCAGAGTTCATTTGGGTAGCGTTTTTCCAACACACACAAAGATGCATTCAAGACCTAACTTAGCACTAGTACAAGTGCTGGCGGAGGTGGACTTTGAGATTGAAGCGTACTGCCTCTCGCTGGAGTACCAAGATGTGTGTAGTTGCCTTATTATCGATTGATCGGTATTGCGTTTTTTATAGCAATAAGTCTCGTGCCTCGTACGAGGAGACTTTATTTTTGAAGCAAATGAACGACGAAGAGGGATCGTTGGATTTTGAAACGATGCTGCGCGCGGGTGACGCCACGTCATGGCTACGGCGCAACTGTCATACGTGGCACGCCCAGCGACCAGATTTGGGTGCTGCGGATGCTCACGCGCGTGATCGGATCTGGGCTCCGCCACGTGCCTTGGCACGCGCCTCGTCAATAACCGGTTGCACTCGGACACTTTAAACCTCCTCAAATGGCTTGATTGCCCAAGTCGGGTGTGCAGGCAGTGCACGAGTCTCTCTGCGGCATCCTGCGATGCTGCCCTTTTTTGTCTTTTTCTGGCTGTGATGGGACCTATAGTCGATTTCGAGAATGCGAGACTCATTTACGATTACAAATATAATTACGTCTCTACTACATAGCAGTTGTTGTTGACGTTGGTGGTGGATACACGTAGTTGGGCCAGTGAACGCGTGGGTGGGTAGGGTCGTCTTCAAAGAGGCGAGTGCAAGGTCGGCCGTTGTCCGCGCTGAGAAAGCGCCCGATTGGCCGCGACGCATCCAAATGGAACGCGTCATTGCACATGAGGTCCCATGCGATCCAGCCAAAGAAGAGACTGTGCCCCACGTCGATGGTCGTGCCGCTCGTGTAGCTACACATGTAGACACAATGTGAGCCTTCCATACCAAATATAAGTATATCGAGATAGAAAGATGGACGTACGTAGAGAGGAGGTCGATGGCGGCGTCCGAGAGGATCGCCTTGTCGGCAAGTAGCTGAGTGAGGAGGTCGCCAAAGGCAATAAAGTCGGCCATGCGCGTCGATGCTGTGAGCGGTACAAACGCGTCGGTGCGGGCGAAGACGGCGGTGGCGTCGTCCGTGATGACGACCTTCTGAAGCGAGAGAGACCCGTGTGCGACGCCGTGGGCGTGGAGGTAGGTGAGGCCGAGGAACACCTGGGACAAGTACCACGCCACTTCGCGCTCGTCCAGTCCAGTTGTCTTCTGGATCGAGCGCAGCGTGTGGCCGCGAAGGACCGGCGTCACGACAAACGCGGTCGTTCGCGTCTGGAACCGGTACAGTGTCGGCACCAAGGTCGCATGGCGCAGCGACGAGACGTCGATTGCCGGCGGTCGCGCTGTCGCCTTGACGGTGGACTGCAGAGCGTAGTAGGCGCCGGCGTCGGTGCCCGTCAGCTTTTGCACGAGGTGCACCTACCCAAGTGTAAGCACCTGCGATCAACCTAAAATCGTAGTAGTCTTACCTGGTCGTGTGTCGAGAACGGCAAAGTCGCTGGCCCCAACCGTGGCGGCGCGGGCGTACGCGTACTCTGGAATGTACAGTGGCCATACGTCTGGATCGTTGGCAAAGACGCGGGCTTGGAGCAGCGACAAGTCGAACGCGTCGGTCGGGACGTCGTCGAGCTGCGGCGCGTCGCTCGGGTGTGGCACTGGCGTCGTATCGAGGGTCGCCCAGTCGACGCCAAAGAAGAAGTCGGTCGCCATAAAGTCCGTCGCAGTGCTCTCCTCCGTCGCCGAGAACAAGCTACGCATCGATCGAGATGAGACAAAAGAGATGGCAAGGAGACGACGTACGCAAGGCAGAGGTCGCGCCCGGCGTGTGGCAACCCGTGTTGAAAGCACGTCGCGTCGGTGAGAAACGTGGCTTCGGTGAGCGGCCCGGCGCCGACAAAGAGCTGGTACACCAAGAGGCCCAACGCGTGCCAGTCGACGATCGCGTCGTCGTTG